GATCTTTATCAATGGTAAATTTTTGGAGAAAAAAGGTGGTTTGTATCTCGTTGATTTGTTGATCGAATTGGTAACTCGATTGATTTATTTAATTTCCGACTAATTAAAAATTTACGTCCGATCCATTGAGTGAGGTGCTTGAGAACGGCCTTATTCAAAGTTAAAATAGCATGTTCCACACTCATTGCTAGATCATGTTAACTTTTTTGGCAGAAGCACCAATTGAAACTCGCGTACTACTATATTCAGAGTCTTTACATATTTCGATAAACCAGTTTATGAATTTGTGTGTATTTTCTTGGACATCTCTAATAAAAAAAAATTTATATATCAAATACCAAAGATAGTCTATTGATAGTTTAACCTGATTTAATTCACATTGTGTTAACGCTAATTCATATTATTACGATGTATTTCTATACTTTTAACATATGCTTTACGAAAATTCTTGAAATTATTTGTCAAATAATAGAAAATCGATAACTTGAGATGGTGAATTTTATGGCAACTTTTCTTTTCGATATCATCGCGTCGCATTAGGAAATAGCCGATCAAATGATTGTAGCTCTATAGTTTATTCATATAAATCCTAAACTCTTTACGCACATAGGTTATTTTATTATATAGAACTTTGTATTACAGTAAGTAAATTCCGACCGGGATCTATATGAATTAGCACAGTTGCTGAATAATTAATCAAATGATATACTGTATGTACTTGCGCTAAAAAAGTGAATAAATTTTAGAAAATTATGAATGAATAGTTAGGGTTGGCAAATTACCGTAATTTTACGTAATTTTACGTAAATCGGTGTAAGTTTCAGAAATCAAAATTACATGTAACTTTGATCATACGAATAATTTTGGCAAAAACTTTTATAAATCTGGCATTAAAGTAAGTATAAAATTACGGTTCCGAAAATAATGACGGATAACTATTAATGTTGGCAAAACTTATTTAATGCTGGTGCAATTATCATGTGACAATACACTATTTAATGTAAAATTACATTACAATTTCGTAAGTTAAATGTAATTTCATGTAACGTAAAATGTAATTTATGTAATGCCAACCCTATGAATAGCACAAAGAATTACTCGCACATTTAACTAATATATCAAACTTAATGATGAATTAGAACATGTGAATAAGTTATTCATAGAATCAATATCTCAGAATTTAAAATTAGTATTTACTTCGGCAAATTTGTCGTCATAGGCAAGGAAACGTTAACTTTACTAGGTTTTTTAATATCAAAAGTTAAATTGAGATATCGTTTAAGTTGATAATATATAATTATGTGTCAATTAACATACTCCAAAAACTTATATATATATGTTGTAAGTGGAAACGGAATTTAAGTGGATTCTAAATGAAAATAACGTTGTTTCAGAATCAGCAGCCATGTTTTCTCAGTCTAGGGATGTTAATCGGTCCCGCAGTAATTGTCAGCCGACTTTGAGCAAGATTTATAAAAAATTGGCATTTTTAACCGGTATTCGTCCAATAAATAAAGTTATAGAAAAATAAATTTTCTGTTACATTTTCTAATAGAGGTTTATCGGTTTTTGCATTAGTTTTTGAGTAGTTTTGATGGGACCGATTAGGGACCGAACAGTGTGGAGAAAATTTAGCTAATCGGTCTCTAAATTAAGCAAAAACCGATAAACTTCTATTAGAAAATGTAACAGAAAAATTATTAATCCAAGACTTTATTTATTGGACGAATACCGGTTAAAACTACCAGTTTTTTATAAATCTTGCTCAAAGTCGGTTACAATTACTGCGGGACCGATTAACATCCTATCTCAGTCTATCCGATACCTAATATATAATTATCACTTTGCATTGTTATACTGTATAATTGATTCGTGAATAAAAGTTTTATAATACAAAAAATTATCACATTGCATTGTTATACTGTATAAGTGAAGTAAAATTTTTTTTTAGATTAAGAATATTTGCAAATTAATAAAAATGTACAATCACTACAATAATCAGCTTGAGTTGATTATGAATATATATTCAGTATCCATTTACAACATAAATAACCAAATTTCATTTAAATCGGGAAATTTTTAATTTTCCTTATCATAATATGAAAATACTATGACAAGTGCATAGTATATACTGTAGTACACATTACTCTGGTTATACCGACATCTGGATATAACGACATCATAGTAAAATCTGTCTACACCGACAATTTTTTTAAAAAATTTAATATAAAATGTCGGTTGTATCGACATTTTGAATTTTTTTACTAATGACTCAAAAATGTCGATATAACCAGAGTGACGTATATAACATTTATATAGTATATTATCTACTGTAATATATTAAAATACAACGCGTGTAACAGTTGCTTTTTTCCGGATCAGTCCGAATAACAAAAAACTCACGGAACACGTAATCTAATATATTAAAATACAAACGCGTGTAACAGTTGCTTTTTTCCGGATCAGTCCGAATAATGAAAACTCACGGAACACGTAATATGATAAAATTAAGATCGGGTTTATTTTTTTAGAACCCTATCATAAATAAATGATTAGCACGCGTAATTCGCGTGAAAATATAGTTGATGATGCGTGCATTGTTTTTGTTGCACCAATATACAGATGTGATTTGTTATTTTTTTTTTTACTAACGCGATTGTTGATTGTTTTGATCACGTCACAGACTAACAGACTGATTATGTGAATAATCAGATCAAAATTATAAATATGATCAGTCTGAAAATTATTTTTTTCAAGAAGCTTTTTCAAAATTTTTTATACTTAAGGTCTTACTGTTTTCACAAACGGAAATGGTTATGAAACTTCCTTAAGTAAAAGCTTCTGCCTATTGGGGTCCTAGTAGGAGAATGAAATACTTCTTAAGCGTGAGCTGTATGCCGCTTCTAGCTATAGGATCCTATAGGAGTCGGAAACACCCTTATAGAGTCGAAAACACCCTTCTAGAGTCGGACACCCTCCTAGAGTTGAAACACCCTCCTAGAGTTGAAACACCCTCCTAGAGTTGAAAACACCCTCCTAGAGTTGAAAACACCCTCCTAAAGTTGAAACACCCTCCTAGAGTTGAAACACCTTCCTAGAGTTGAAAACACCCTCCTAGAGTTTGAAAACACCCTTCTAGAGTTGAAACACCCTCCTAGAGTTGAAACACCCTCCTAGAGTTGAAACACCCTCCTAGAGTTGAAACATCTTTAAAGATCACTTTTTTTATTTGGGACGTTATATCGACATAGTATTTGTGTCGGTATAACGTCCCTTTTTTTTGTCATTTCGTTAGCATTAACTTTTAGCGAACTTTATTTTTGGTGAAATATTTTCTCTACGCGGTGGCAAAAAAGCAAGTATCTTTATATATCGTTACTAAAAAATTTATATATACAAAAGTATATTTTACTTATTTTTATTCATCTTTCTAATTTATAATTTATTTGTTTTTTTTTTTTTTTAATTTAGTTGTCCATTTCAGCGGCGTCTTTTTTTTTTCGTCGTTAGTATCGTCTTTTTTGGTGTCTTTTTTTCGTCGTTGGTGTCGTTTATTTCAGCGTCGTCTTTTTTTTTCGTCGTTAGTATCGTCTTTTTTGGTGTCTTTTTGGTCTCTTTTTTTCGTCGTTGGTGTCGTTTATTTCAGCGTCGTTTTTTTTTTCGTCGTTAGTATCGTCTCTTTTGGTGTCTTTTTTGGTCTCTTTTTTTCGTCGTTGGTGTCGTCTATTTCGGTTCTTTCGTCGTTTTCGGCACTTTCGTACTGGTTATTTGTAAGTATTTTAAATTTTTTTGTTACTTGTGTTTCGTTTCTTTTATATCGTTACTCATTATTCTTTCGCGAACTTTTGGTTTCAACAGCATCTCTGAATCGTACGTTACTTCGTGTGTTTCGATGTTAGTGTTAGCATAGATTTTAGGGTTTATATTAAAATAGACGTTGAGGTAGTTATTAAAGTAGATACAGATAATTATGCTCGTCTAGTTAATAATTTGTAAGCTGAAATGAAAATAGATAAAATCAAATAATTACACATTTGATCGATTATAAAACTTATTTAAATTTGTTACGTTGAGAATATTGAATTTTTTTTTTAAATTGATTTGTAAATTCTTATGTCAAGTAGATTTAAATCATGACTTTTACATTAAGAGTAATAAATTTTTAATCGATTAAATTCCTTTTTACACAGAAGAAAATTTAAATCTAGAAATATTTATAGTGAAAAAGGGCCATTATCTATAATAAATTGTAAAATCCTCATCGCAAAGGGTTTTCCTTCATAATTGAAATATTGAATTAAACAGATGTATAAATCCAAATTAAATTACTCATGTTCATCGATAGTTTAATCAACTGTAAAATAATTAAATTTATTCGCATTAAAAGTTTTAATTTAAATTTTAAATCAAGATTTATTTCGTAGTTACTACGCAAATGTTTTGTAATTATCGTAACATATAATCAAGTCATTTGGTATTTGTAAATTTCTACGCTATAATCTGGCACTCTTTTCAGATGTGTCTTATTCTTTTTTCGGCAGATCAAGCCTCAACTTTTCCTTTAGCCATTATTAAGAAAAACCTCTTGAGTATGACATTTAACAAACCCAACAAGCAAATTATTATACAATTTATTCGACGTCATCAGTATTAACCTAATAATAAATTTCAATGATCTCAAAAAATATTCAAGTTCTTGATAAAGGAGGTTTAGTACGATATTTACAGCGATCTGGGAAATTAAAAACACCAATAATAGCTTTTTATTTGTCATTTTTTACGCCTTTTATTCGATCCAATTTTCATAGAAAATTTTGGTTTTCCTTTTAAAGAATCGAATTTCCTTTTTTGGCGTTGATTCTTGTTAGATTTTTCACTATCTCTCAAATTAAAATTTACATCACTATCATTATCACTATCACCCTCCTTATCATCATCATCATCATCAACTTTAAATAAACTATCTTCAATACCCTTCGAATAGTCATCACGTTCATTCTCTAGGTCTGAAAATTCATCATCTAAGTTGTTATCATCATCATCCTGATTCTCTGAATTTCGGAATCATCTTGGAAACCTTTTTTGATGATGTCCTCAATGTCTGATTCCTCAACACCCGATTCTTCAACATCCGATTCCTCAACATCCGACGTTTGTTCTTCTTGTTCCCTAACTAGTTTTCCTATAATGTACAAGATTATATAAATTATATTGTATCACAAGAATCAAGTGGTGATAGCCGGTGTTGGAAATTTCAGATTCAAATACTGTTCTCATGAGAACAGAATAATACTTATAAGTGTTCTCAAATATTATACTATGTTCGCATATATATATATAATATAAACATAATTGAAATCAGAAAATTAAATATGAGCATACGCAGGTAAAATTTTAAACTTTTAAAAAAATGTAAGATTTAAAGATCGCTCAATCGAAAATGAATACATTGCTTATTTTATCCAAAATTAGATACCAAACTATTAATTTTGAAACCCCAAGTAGGAATAGATGTCAAGTGCACACTTAAATCTTATGATAAATTAATTCAATCATATAAAATATACAGTAACTAAAGATTAGATTTACTTAGCTTGGCATGACAAATGTGTATCATATATATATATATATGAGAATACTATTATTATTTTACTGTTCTCAAAAAATTTTAATAGTGAACAGTAAAAAACTTACACTGTGCACAAATTTATAATAGTATTCTCATGAGAACTCCGAGAACACTAATTTCCAACACTGGTGATATCATTATCTAGAATGTCAAACCTTTTTTTTCGCCACTTGTAACGAGGCGATGAGCCTCCTTTTCAGCTTTTTTTCTTTCAACATTCCTTTCCTGTTCCATTCTCCTTGATGCAGCAAGTTGTTCACGCTCGTCTTGTATCTTTTTGATTTCTTTAGGTGTTTTATGAACTATTTTATAATGTTAAAAGCATAATTAATAATTTGTATATTATTTGAATAAAAATATCCAATGAAAATATATACATACTAAATTCATGATATAATACTTCTCCGTCGCATAATCCAGCCTGAATTTTAACTAATAGTAACTCCATACAAGGACCTGTTTCTCTTAATTTAATAGCACGTTTATCTGACTTTCGATTATCCCTGCCAATAAGATCTTGTGCTAAAGTGACGGTTGCCTCAACACCACTTTCTACCTCACTCTCAGAAACGTGTTCTTCCCTATCAGTGCCAACATATAAATGTTAGATGCTTTAAAAGTTATTACTATAAAAAATAGCTCTTACCTTAATACATATTCACTTATATCATTATATTTATGTAAATTAGTCACACTTTTGCTTAAGCCAGCAGGTTTCAGATCAATATTATAATTCCTAAAATCAATGTGCTTTGTATCGGTATTATAATTAAAAAGAACAATTCTGACAATCGGATCTTTTAAAAAATATATCAGTGAAATATATTAGTGCTCAGTTTTTTTTAAAAAAAAAATAAAACTAAACAAATAAATTAATTAATTAAAATAATATATATGTGAAAACTTATCTATTAAAATATTTTATATGAAAAATGAGTACTTACAATCAGTATTAATTTTTCAATTAAAATTTACTGTGCGGCAAATGAAATTTTAAAAATTTTTTGGGCCTTTACGGTAGGGTTTTTTTTTTAGGGTTAGTGTTGTTAGTAAAATGTATATGTGAATTTTAGTAGGTATTATAGATTTAAATGGGGACCCTAAATTTCAGCATCAGTCGTGACAATTTATATTTTTTCTGCTAACACGACTTTGTCGGTTTTTTCGTCCCACCCTAGCAATTGATTTGACAGTCTGCTTAGAAGCTATGATTTGATGACCTATCGGACGACAGTCATTGCTTATTTTTTTTTAGAGAAATTATGACCTGTCAGTCAACGTTCATAATTGAGTTTTTGATGACAGTCACGAAAGAATCTTCTCATATTTGAGTATAGCACTAACCTATTTTTTGGTTTTCATATGTTAATCAGCGGGTTTTTTTCCAGACAAATTCTGGCTTTTTTTATTCTTGGTGAAAGTAGTATCATCGTAGGTTGTCCATTCGATACTCTCATTCTGCACTGTTAGTAGGTGTATCACGAAAGCGGAAGGAACAGAATACTTATAGTTGTTTTTCATTTGTAATACCCCGATGAGAGACAAAATGTGTTTTCTAATAATTTGTTTAAAACTCTATCAAATTTAGTTAGCACTTATGTGTTACGAGATTTTGAAAAAACATTCTTGCTTAAAATAAGGCGCTTCAGAAATGGTCCCAAAATAAATCGCGGGGCGTTATTACGCGCAAATACGATTTTTCACATTAATAAATAACCACTTTTTTTGATCACAAGAATGTCGCATCTTAATCATACAAATTTCGAGTATGTTGTTGAAAGAATATTGCATTTGTCATAAATTGAATGAGCCTAAAAATAGGAAGGTAAAGTTGCAATCTAACATCATGTAATCCTCTCAAAACCGATAACCTGTCAAATCTGATAAAAAATTAGTCTACAAAGTCCGTTTCCGTTATATAAATCTCTTGCGTTGTAGCATCAGTAGCCTGAACAACATTAAGAGGAGGTACTTCACGAAATTCGTTGGACTAGCAAAAGATTGACAACATGCCAAGGTTGGTGTAAAGTATTGCGTGGTAGTAGGTATAAAAAGTTATTTCTTCATAATCATTAATGGGTGTCTCAAAACAAGATCAGATTCATAGGTGCCTGTTGGTATATACATCATTCTGAGGTGTAAAGTATTGAGTATTTGTAGGTGTAAAAATTATTTCTTCATACATTAGTGAGGTGTATCATAAGCTAGATCAGATTCGATTACTGTTTTTATGATAAATACTGTTTGTGTATCTATTGTTGTTGGTTCACAGTTTTGAGTTCAACAATAGTCAATGTCAGCAAACTTGAAAAAAGAATTATCAGAAATAATTAACAATTTGATATAAAAATATTATAGACAAAAAAGCTTTTTCAGTAAGAATTAAATTCATATTAATAAATTTAGGCTTGCTTATTCTTTCTAACCTAATGTAGTGCTAATTTAACATATATTTTCGGGTATATATCAAGTAGTATCTCTGTACGTACATACATACATACGAGGACTTCATATAATATATATGAAGGTATGGAGGTTATGCAGTAGTACTCTTTAACGACCAATTTTATAAGCATTTATAGATGTTGATGTATATCAGAGTTAACGTTATTTAAAAAAACCAGCGGAGTACGAATCAATTGAGCCGTAAAATACAAATGTTAAAAAAAAAAGGTGTTTAATATTATGAATATAGTCCAGTGTTATCGTTATCTGTTATATAGTCCACTTTGTTATTCGTAACGTTAGAGCCTCTCGTAAAGATAACCGAAGTATAAATTCTGCGAAAATGTCTAGTATATGAGTTTTTTCACACCCTCTTGTTGCTAACAAAATTTCAATTCTTCGTAATAAAAACACTCAGCCAAAGCAAGTTCGTGAGCTTATGCGCGAAATTGGCAACTTCTTGGGTATGAAGCTACTGCCGATTTACCTACAAAGTCTACGAGCACCGTAAATAATTTATCGTTTGTTTTTATGCATACTATTCGAATACTGCAAGTTCAAGTCTCACCTCAAAATTTGCGAAATATTTAAGATCCTATCATATTTTTTTTATACAAACCATATTTCCACAGTTGAAAAGTCCTTTAGCACCTCATGCAGGGACTGAATTAGCCAACAATTGGACTAGTACCTATCTTGATGGTTAGAATTATCCATTTACGGTTTAAATTTCATTTTCTATTATGTTAAAATTAATTGATTCCATTATTAAAAATAGTTCTTCAGGACATTATTCCCACAGCTAGAGTCTTGTATCTCTGGATTTTTAGGGAAGGTGTTCAATCATATGAAAAGCATTTTAAAAACACGATTTTGATCTTATTTTCTACGTATAGATATCACTTTAACCCGTAGAATATTATAATAAGCTACCTTCAGAACTCAATATTGATCAGGTTTTAGTTTTAGAACCCAATGTCGGCATTTGGACTAATTAAAATAATATGGACATAATCATTTTTCAATTGGACATATACATTTGGACTATGTCCAAATTTTTTTAAAAATATGGACATAGTCCAAATGTCAACACTGTTAGAACCAATGATAGCTACAGGAAGAACTGCTGTTGTCACAACCAGTATTCTTAAAGAATAGGGTATTAAATCAAATATCAAATTTATTACCATATGTGCATCACGTCAGGTAATTTACTAAAATAATTGCATTTATTCATAAATTTTTTGATAATTTTACTTTTTATTTTACTTCTTTTGTTACAAGGTCTTGACAATTTAATGAAACACCATCCAGATATTGAAGTTTTTGTTGGTGTAATTGATGATGTCTTAGACGACCATGGGTAATTTTAAATTCTAAATTTTATAATCCACATTTGAAATCAATATTAATTCTTTTTTTTTTTTTATAAAATTCATAGTTACATTGTACCTGGCCTAGGTGTATTATTTATTATTTCTCTTCACTATAATATAAATGAATATGTTCGAAAATTATAAATTGATTAACATCCAATTGTTTGTGTAGGCGATGCCGGAGATAGATTATATGATACTCCTCATTTAAATTAAATTATAATTAAAACGATTGATACTAGTTATTAATAATATTATTGACATGTTTGTCATAATATTTGTTCTTTTACATAGTTTTCTTTTTTTTAATACATATTATTAATATGTAGATTTTCAGAAACAAGTTCAAATATTTACATGTTCGATATTTATTATATAAATATGTAATATAAGACAAGTTCGTACAGTCAGTTTTAATGCTGATTTTGTCTCAACGATGTACTATGTGTATGAAAGATTTACCTATCATTTTCGACCCTTTCTTCCCTTCTTTTTCGAAGGTGAAGCAGTTGAAGTATTTGATCCACTTCCTGAAGCAGCTTGTCCTGTTACTGAAGTTGAAGAACTAGCCGTAGATCCAGAATCGTTACTCTTTCCATCTTTCAATATACCTCTAGATACTGCTGGAGAATGACTAGGCGGAAATTGTTGCGGATTATTTTTTTGAACCTCTGACAATACCGATGCTACTTGTTTAATCAACACTTTCCCTTTTTTTTTTTCCAAAGAATCTCAGTAAAAGTATTGTTAATGATTAAAAACATATCAATTGAAACTTACGTGTCGGAATATCATTATTTAATGGAATTTTCTGTTCATTAAATAATTGTACTCGTACCCTCCCAGGGTTAACCCAATTTCTGGGATGCGTTTTATGTGGCTTTTAATAAACAATATATATACACGCAATCCAAGAATAATAAAGAAAATTTAAAAATTATGAATAAACAACTTGAATTTAATGAAATTGCGAATTATACCTCAAAGACACAGGATAACCCCAAAATTTTTATGGATTCAGCGAGATCTTTTGCTAATGGATTCGGTACCGCGAGTTCTCTTACAACTCTTCTTCCTTCTTGATGTGATTTTGTTGAATCAAAATAAACAGGGTACAAACATATCCAACTTTATAAATAAGGTATAAACCATTTAAAATAAATGAATTTGATCAAAAATATTTTGCGAAATAATTTTTTCAGCATACGTTTTATAAGCGCTATCGTCAGTAGCAATTTTAGTGAAAGGCGGAACCTCAGGTAAATCAAAATCCGGAGGATCATCTTCCATGTTTGTTAATGAAAGGTTTGGAGGTGGAAAACTTCCTAACATTGGATTTTTTTGAATTTGTTTTTTTCCTTTCGGCATTTTTACGAAAGAGTTAAAGAAAATCAAAATACTTCAATTTGACTGGATGATAGCTTTGTTTGTTAATGTTACACGATAGTACTTATTCGAATATTCACCGAATGACTAACAAAATTCGAATTAGTGCTATTTATTCGAATAAAATATGTTGTTCGAATTATTCATCAGATAAATATTTATTCGAATATTCGCCTAATACAAATATTATTCGAATAACGAATACTAATACGAAGCTCTAAGTATCATGCACCCGATTGATTGTCGAAACACTTAAAGTGATAGTCGAAATTACGTTTTAGATGCGTTGAGAGAATTTACAGTATCTAAAATTATGGGTATAAAGAAAGAGATATAACTTATGTAATTAAAAGATTTTGAATTACATGTCGATTATTCAATATGTATATATAGTTAATAATTATAAATTTTATTATTGTATATATTATCGAAATATAAACTATATATACAGTATATATATTATTTATTTTTATTGAGAATTTAAAATTTTTGTAGCCATACTTATAGTTTTTTTTTATAGAAAAATTTTGTAGCCATATTAACATTAGGCTCAGGATTCCTATCAAATCAAATCAAACTTTGCCAAGTTTGAGTTTGATTTGATTTTCAAATCAAACTCAAACTCAAAACTTTTTTTAAAATTGAGTTTGATTTAAGTTTGAACTTTTTAGTTAAGTTTGATTTGATTTGAATTTGATTTTAAAGTTTGTCAAATTGTTTTGAATTTGAACTATACATATATATATGTTTATATATTGAATAAATTTATATAATAATAAAATTTTAAAAATTATAATATTTTTTATAATTTTACTAATAAAATTATAACTCAATCCCTATTAAGGGGGGGCCCAAATAAAGAGCAAAAGGCTTGTATTACGGACCTAATGAAGAAAAAGAACCTGGGTTCTCTTTAGGTGGCACTTGCCTTCTAGGCGGATTCCTAGTAATCTCAAGTAGAATGTCCATATAAGGAAGTACCGGTGAATACAGAAGGTATATAGAAGTAAAGTCCAGAAGGGCCGAAACTGAAAACACAGAGCCTAACAAATATGTTGGTAGGCAGGTGATGAATGAAGGATACACAGAGTTCAAGTACAGAATTGGGAGAAAGGGTACAATGCCAAATATAGAAAAATACAGGAAATTAGGGCTGTGGTAATAAGGAACTGCAGATCACTCAAGGCAGAGTCCTACACCACAGGATTAGGAACCTAGGATATCACAAAAGTGGTAGACTTATCAACACGTGGCATGGAAGGGTTAAAGAACATCTGATAGGGTAGCCTCACAAATGATATATATAGCAATTAAATATATAACTAACAATTTCTTGTAATATAATATATAAGACTTTGAAATAATAAAGTACATCACTTGTATTCTAGATGTGGATCACACATCATGGGAAATTTTAAAAAAAAAAATTATAATTCAAATTATTTAAGTAAATTTGTTTAGCATATAAAAATATATTAGACCAGTATATTTAATCTTATTTTCTTAAAATTTGAAGAAAAGATATTTAATTTAAATTTTTTAATTAAAAATTCAAAATTACATATTTTTTTTCAAATTTTAAAAAAATAAAATTAAATATATTAGTCTAATATATATATATATATATATATATTTTTTTTTTTTTTAGTAAATTGCTTATACGCTGTAATTTTTATTAATTAAGAACTTAAGAACTTATTACATATTGT